GTCTCCCACCCATGATGCCTTCTGGGAGCCCCCTGGCTTGGCCTGTGTAGGGCTAAGAGCGGCTCTCCCTGACCTTTCACCTCTCCCGGCCGCCCCAGGGCTCAGTCTTAGGCTCTGACCTTTCCTCCTGCCCCACAACAAGGGGGTGGTCCCCAGGCACTGCCTCTGTTGAGAGTCTCTGCTGTTTGCAGCTGGCTCTCCTGGGTCAGCTGTGCCTCCAGTCAAAGTGCTGGGGTGAGCTGACAGCTGGAAGTGGAAAACTGGGTTCTTAAAACACGGCTGTCCTCAGAGAATACCTGGGGTGGGTTTTTAAATCCTTGGAAGAAGAGGGCTGTGTCAACAGCAGCTATTACTCACTATCTGGGGTCCTTTCAGCCACAGGCTGCTGCCCGCTGGAAGCTTTCCTGATAGATAAAGCATCACCCACCATTTCAGTAAACAAAAGCACTTGTGGCCAACAAGCCTTTGGTTACAGCGGCACCCGCCCTCCACCAAAGTGCACCTTGAGCAGAGTTCAGGATGGAGAAAAGAGTATACTGGGCCTAGACAGTGAAGATGTATACAAAAGGAATGCCTTCAAAAAGCCCAAACTCTTTCATCTTCCCACACAGAGAAAAGCACTAAAATCATTAATTTGTGATATCCGCTTTTTGTGATTAGCAGTCATCTTTTGATATCTGACTATGTCCCCCCCTCCCCCCCGCCCAGCAAAAACTGCTGTATCTCCTGGCTCCCCCGGACCTCTTTGGAACCGTCCCTCAGAGCTATCTGAGACTGCCTCCCGGGTGGCAGTTCTCAGTGAGGGCTCCAGACAAAACACAGTTCTCAACTTGCAGGCTGCGCATACCCTTTAGTTGACAGGTGAGTGATCTGGAGGAGGAAGTGGCACCCCACTCCAGTACTCTTGCCTGGGAAGTCTCACGGACAGAGGAATCTGGAGGGCTACAGCCCACGGCGCCGCAGAGTTGGACACGACCAACCGACTGAGCACGAGTGACCCGGAAACATTCAGGAACCCAGCGTGTGCTCCAAGCAGAAGAGCAGGCCTGGGCGCCAGACGACAGCCGTGGATGCTGGAGGGCTGGGCTGCTCCAAATTCCAACCGGTGTTGACGAGCCAGGGGCAGAGTGGTGAGGGTGCAAGAAAGCACCTCAGTTCTGCAGGCAGAGACCTGGGTCTGGGTCCCGACTCTAGAAAGCTGGGAAACCTTGGGAAGTGACATCTTCTTTGAGACTTACTTCTGGTGATTGGAAAAAACAGCAAAACCTTGTAGGCTTGAAACCGACTCCCCCTAAAACTGAGTTCCTCTGTCAAGTTCATATTAATTTCTTTATCCAAAACTTTATTCCTTTTCGTCTCCCACACCTGTTCCCCCCAAGACTGAAGAGTATCAAAGAAAAGGGGGCTTTGAAACCCGCTGGTATTCTGCAGGGCCCTTCTGGGCACGAAAGCTTTTCAGTGCTCCCCATTTCTTGTTTATGCGGAAAAGGCTGCTGTCTCCTAAATCTTCCCTGAGTTCCAAAGGGCAGATTCAGTTACTCATTAGGGGAGGGAGGGAACCCAGAAACAAAGGAAAAGCAGTCAAGAAACAAAAGTGCAGCAATAAAAAAGAGTCCTAGTTCCTTCTCAAGGGATTTACTTGACAATCCGATACACATCTCTGAGTTCTACTATGGGAGCTGGGGCCTCACCCAGGTGGATGGAGGGTGACTTCAAGCCTGCACAAGTTCGGACCCCAGACTGGATGGAACCAGAAGGCTGATGCCTAAGATTCCTGGAGCCCCTCCCACCAACCAATCAGAAGAAAGTTACAAACCCCGGAGTTCCACCCTCCTCCTAATTTTGCCTTTAGAAACTCCTCCAGGAAAACCAATGGGATTTTGGGTCTTTTGAGTATGCACAGCCCAGTCACCTTCCTTGGCCCCTGTAATAAACTTTTCTCTGCTCCAAACTCCTGCTTTGGTTTGTTTGGCCTCACTGCACATCCAGCACACAAACTTGGGTTTGATAATAGGACTGTGATACAAGTATGGCACCTGGTGTTTGCTCACAAACTGTTACCTTCCTTTTTTCCTTTCTTCCCTCCAGTAATGTGTCAGCATGATGCTAAATACCTAGGGTCTGGATCAGTAAGATTCAGAATCTGATCTCACAAAGCCTCGTCCAGCAGGGAAATCACATGCACAACTACTAACAGAATGCCACGGTGCTTTATTAGTGTGACGTTGGTGAAAATAATAAAAATGATGACAATGTTTCCTGCAAACTGACAATGGGCCAGGCCCTCTCCGAGAGCATCTCACTTCACTCTCACAACCACTCTGAGAAATGGATGCTGCTATAACCACCATTCCACCCAGGAAGCAGAGGCTCAGAGCCCAAAGGCAGACAGGGAGTGAGCCTGAGGAGCTAGAGTGATGGGAGGGCACAAAAGCAATGGCTGGATCTAAAGGGGTCAACGAAGGCCTCGTGGAATAGGTGATGATGCCTGGAGCTTTGAAGGAGGCACTGGCAGCAGGCATTCCAGGCAGAGCGAGCAGCAAGCAGAAAGGGGTGTGGATGGGTGACTGGAAACTTTCTGAGTCGAGAGACACTGAGCTCTAATTTACACCATCAGGACCTACAGTCAGCACTGCCGACTGCACAGGGCTCTACGCTCAACAGGGGGATGAAGTTGGCAGGCTGGAGAAGAGATTATTTCAATCCTGCAGTTTATAGAAATGCAAGCAGCTCATATTAGGTCATTAGTAATTACAGCTGATCAGGGCTGTTGCTCCCCCACACCCGGGGGGGGGGGGGGGCGGCAGGGAAGAAAAGAAAAGGAATACTGAGGATATTAACTCAAACAGCAGACATTATTCATTTAATCGTACTTTTAGGGCCTCTTCAGCTTTGGTTCAGATTTCAGGGACTCAGAGGGGTTCATCTCCGCTTTCTGACCATGTCACTGGGGTCTTAGGTGAGACCTATTTTCCACCTTCCCTCTCTTGGCCTCAGTCTCCAGTGTAGAGTGAAGGGGATGGGCTAGAATGGAGGTTTTCAATCTGGTGGCCACCTCAGATCTATAGCCTTTGATGCTTTAACAAGTCTTCCAGGGGGATTATGATGATAGCCTTGGATTAGAAGAGCCCCAGGATAAGGACTGTTCCTGCAGTAAAACATGGTCTGTGCTCTAAAGGAATAAGAATTAGTAGTATGCTCTTTGGATTGAATATTTCTTGCCCAAGACAGGTGACCCTTCAGGGTAAGAAGAGAAGCTCTTTTCTTTGACTACCTCAAGCCTGGAGTCCCAACCAGCTTTTCTAGAAAGTCTCTGGCATATTTGGCTGACTGTGAACCAGAATATTTTTCTTTTTTGGGGGGTGGGTGGGTAGGAAGTCTCAAGCTTGACATGTGATAAAAGCAGAGGTTTCTACAGTTGAAGAAATACAGACAAGAGATGAGCTGCCTTCTCTTTTCAGCTCCCAAACAATGACTCATCAGAGTATGTGTGTGTGTCATCAGAGTGTGTGTGTGTGTGTGTGTGTGTGTGTGTGTGTAGCAGGTGGGTGAGGGTCCTGAGAGAGCAGTTGCCCCTCTGAGGTCCGGGAACTTCCTGGTGTGTAAATTCTCTACTGACAGCATACTCTTGAATACATTTGATTACAAAACCTCAAAAGAGCCACAAACAGCCGGCGGGGGGCAATTTCAACACAGAACTGGGTTAACAGACTTAAGTGAGGTTTGACTTCTAAGACAGAAAGAATGAAAAGAATGTCTTGTCTAAAAGATCCAGTTTTCTCAGTCTGGACTTAAGGCTAAAAATCATCAAAAAGATAGAGAGAGGCTTTCACAGTACTTCCCTCGGTTTATTCAGGCGAGGAGGCACACCCAGACTGTTCTGGAGAAGTGTCCGGGCTATGGCCTGGGGCCTCTCTGAGTTGGTGGGCAGGAATGAGTGCCTGTAAGACCAACTGTTCAGCCATTCTCAGGATTTTGGAACCCTCACTTGGTTGTGTCTCAGTAACAATAATAAATATTACCACCTTCTTTAAGAGAGCATCTGCCACGTGGAAGGCACTAAATCCTTCACACTTATGAACGAGTTTAACCTACACAACAACCCCAAGGAGGCAGGGATCATTATTCTCCCCTAATCACAGGGGAGGGATCCTCTACAGACAGCCAACGCCGCACCATTAGTAAGTCTCCAGTCAACAGGTGCCAAGGGAGTCAGGAGACCTGGGCTCTGAGTGAGCCTGTGTCTCGCCCAGAGGGCTTGGCCCTCCCATCTGCTGAGAAATGAGGGAGGCCGAATCAGGTGGTTTCGAAGATCCCTTCCAGCTCCGAATCTGCGACTCCACGCGGTCCATTAGGGGCCGGTTGGTGAGGCGGCTACGGCCGGCAGTTCCTGAGGCTTTGGCCTGGCCTTCTTGTGGGGTGGACTCCCCAGCGTCTAGCCCCGGCTGGGCGGAGGAAAGGCTACCAGCCGCCTGCCCGCAACATGCCCGCCCGGCCGCCGAGCCCCAGCCTCCTGGTCCTTGAGAATGGACTTCCAGCCCTTCTCAGGTATCCGTGTTCGCAGCTCCAGACGAGCCAGGAAGGAAATGGCAAGAGCCCAGGTGGTGCAACCCGTGCGGGGGAGGCGACGACAGAAACCATCGAGGGACCCAAGGACTGCAAAAACCACGCAGTCCTTTAACCCCCAAAACTTTCTGCCTGGATTCGCGACCCCAGCAGCTGCACATTGGCTGAGCCGCGGCCGCCCGGGCCCGCCTCCTCTCTTTATTTATTGGCTGCCGTGGGCATCCATCACAAGCCGAGGCTTCCTAGTGGACAGCGGCTTTTGTCAATCAAAGAAGGCGGGAGGCAGGGCGGGGCCGGGTCTGGGAGAGACACGCCAGCCTCACTCCCCTCCCTGTCTCCCTCTGGTGTGTGACTCGGGACCAGGAGGTGCCCCGGGGGGACGGGGTTGAGTGCGGAGTGCTGCGTTGGGGCTGCGCGGGGCCCCGCGGACTCACCGATGCGCTGTCCCACCGGAGAGCTGAACGGGTTCCCCAGGAGAAAGTCCATCGCCACTGTTGCTGCTGCCACCAAGCCGGGGAATCAGCTGACAGCAACCGCCAGCGCCGCGGACCCGTCACGTGATGCGCTGGACCGTCCTCGGGGAGGCGCGGCTGGGGCGGGGCAGAGGGAGTCTGGAGCCCAGCCGCAACCCCCGCCCCGGACGTGGAGTGTTGGCGCCCTGAGGCGGAGGGCGATGACCTCACTGCGGTTAACTCGGCGTCGGCGGACGTCACGCACTACGTAGGGCGACTGCGGACCAGAGGGCGTGGGTTTCGTAAAGCCACGCCCTCCATGCTTCCTTAAGGATTTAGGGGCGCGGTCTTTGAACTCTTCACGTCTGGAAAACCCAATCTCAGACCAGGGAAATGGCTTGGGTAAGGTTACCCAGCAAGCCGAGACCAAAGCTCTAGCTCTTAGTCTAAGCCCCTGGGACCTCAGTATGACTACACACCCGCTGGTGGGGTTGACAGCCTGTCTGTCCTGTTGCCTCCCTACCCAGAGAGGACGCTTTCTGTTTGAGGCTGAGGTCTCCTGGCTGCAAAATGCGTCATGTTTGCAGCCCAGATTCCCTTACCTCAAATAGGATGCAAGGGCCAAGGGTTTTCGAGACCTTGACACCGAGCCACAGCTCAGTGAGTTGCAGCTAGTTATTGGCTAGAGCTCAGGGTGGCAGAAAGCATACAAATGTTATGAGTGGGTCCTAGGACACATCTCTGCCACTCATTTACTGTGTGATTCAAACAGCAGGCTTCCATTTTCTCTGAATTCTGGAATTAGATCAAGGACTTATAACCTTTATTTTTTTAGGTCACAGGTTCCTTTGAGAAATTGTACAAAGCACTGGAGCGTTTCTGAAGAAAAAAGGCGAGATAGACTTGTACCTCAGGGGGGTTCTGGGGTCCCTAAGGTACACCAATGGACCCCAAGCTAAGAATCTCAAAGGCTTTCTCCAACTTTGTAATTCAAATATCTTCTTCCATGTTCCCGTGTGCCATGTTTCAGCTGTGTCACTTACTCATTAGATATCTTACCTGTTATATTTTTTTGCTTCTAATGACATGTACTCCAAAAGATACAATAAGCAGTGCTTTGGTAGTCTGAGCTACTGTGAGGTGCTTTAGTATTTATCGAACATATTTGTGAATTTTTAATTTGAAAGGCTAGTAAATTTCACAAATTTAGGATGATAGAAAACTTGAATTACAATTTTATCACTTCTGTATGTTAACTGTTTGAGCAATCAATAGGGTCTGACATCTTTACTGTATGATATAAAAGCTTTATTGAAATCATGTGCTCCTGTGCTTTGAGGTGTTTTAATAATGCTCATGAGATATGTTAATAGATGCCCAGTCCCCCAGTAGTCTATATGCTCCTTGAGGCTGGGATACTATGTGTGTTTCTCTCACTGTTGACCAACACGATGACTAATGCTTGAAAATTTAAATTAGTAATGGTATTTAGCCTATAAAGGGGGGATCTGCACTTATGATGATTTTCATGTCAGGTAGGTACCTTCTATGTTTTTTTTTCATTTAAGTATATTGCTTGTTAGTATGGAAAGTATTTAGCATGATTTTCCTTTGGATTCTTCCATTAATCTTTAATATCCCTATGTTAGATGACTGGAAGTTCTTGCCTTCTTGCATCACTCTGGTTTGAAGTGATTATAGGCAGATCGTGGCTTTACCACAGAGAATAGAACAGTCATAGTTTTATCCTTCATGGTAAGAAAGCAGAAACAACCCACATACCCCCAAACAGGGAGTGAAAATTTATATTAACTCCATGCAGACAGAAAGTTGTACAGCTATTAAATTAGAAATGGGAGTGTGTAGATTTTGTCAATACAATAAATAGTAACGTAAATGGCAAACATTAAGTGCAGTATAAAACTATGTCTTCAAACTATTTCCTAACAGGGAACAAACTTGTTCAGTAAATAGTCTGTTTTAATTTTTTAAGTATTTTAGCAATATCAATATCAAATGCCTTACTATGGATAAAAATGTTGAAGTCCCTTAAGATTGACAGTGCATAAATATAATTGATTATAACCTTTAAGTACTTTTAAACAAAAAAATGAAGATACTCTGCTTTCAAAATTTAAAGACCAGAGTATGACAAGAAAAGTGAGGTCCCTATAGTAAAGTCCAGCTAGGACAGAAGAACACTTGGACAATGAAAAGGTCTGATAGTTTTCCTGCAATCACACTTGCTCAGGACTGCAGATAATGGAGAAGGATTCTGATGAATTACATACACAATTTAAATTTGGGGCTTGGGGTAGAAGAGAGCCTCGGCTTCGCTTCGGTTTGCTGTTCCATTGTGCTTACTTTGGCTTTGCCGTTTACTTAGCCGTTTAAACTCAGGGAAAGGGCTTTCCTGTACCTGTCTCTTCATCTGTAAAAGGGGATAATATTTATAAAGCTTTGGGGGAGGATTAAGTGTAATAAAATATGCAAAACACTCTCTTCATTCAGCAATATGGTGATCTCTTTCTTGCTGCCTCTCTGTAAGAAGTGAGCCATACAGCCAATCATAATATTTTGCTATTTATGATTATTAACACCTTGTGTTTGCATTGAAAATTTTACCTTGAAAGGTCTAATCTCACATATTAGATGTTCACAGTATTACTAAACATACATGTCAGGCTGGCTGGCTGCAAGGCTTGGGAGATAGAGAAGTGACATTAACACTTTTATAGATGGGATTGCAGATACCTATAAAAATTAAGTGATTTATCCAATCCAGTGTAACTCAGCAAATCAGAACAGTACTGAAACACATGATTTAGCATACAAGTTGGATGCGACTCTTACACAAGACTGATAGATATCTGACTTAGGCCAACAATATAATGTGCAGACAATTTCATTTGCCAGTGAATACAGCTACACTTACAGAGCCACTGGCTTTGTAATTAGCAAAAGAGAAGATGAAAGTCCTCAATGTAAAAGTTAATAGAAACAGCAAGATGTATGTTAGGAAGATAGCTTTGATCAGACACTTGACCTCTATTCCAGATGGGCTTTTTTTGTTTAAATGTGAAAGACAGGTTTAAAATTTCATAGGAACTTTGGTTAGCCACAGGAAAAAGATAGCTGACACTGGACTACAAATATTAAAAATGTGATTTTTAATAATATAAGTACAAAATTTTATTTCTTTATACAACTGTAATGGGATTTGGATCAAACTGCTAGATTTATTTAAAAAACAAAATAAAACAATGATATAAAAACTGCAAGAAGGTCTGAATCCAAAGTTTTTCCTCTAATAGTACCAAATACCACAAGGAACAGATTATCATACAAATGTGTACAAATTTTAAATACAAATACAATAGGGTTGAACTTTAAAGGAAAACAAACAAACACAAAGCAGGCTCTCATCAGGACTTCATTAATGTGTACAAATGACAATGGTAGGACTGACCTCTTTCTGTCCTAATCCGTGTCTCCGAGGCCCCTTCCTTGATACCCTGTGTCCAACAGGAAAATGATGTGGGTAGAGAGGTGGTGTGTGACAAGTGCTGACACACGAAATCAAACCAGGATTTCTGCTCTTTGTAATTTTGGTTCCCAGACATTCCTGTTCCCTTCTATTTCCCCAGTTCAATCTCAAAACTGCTCTGAGGTGAGAAAGGCATTTGGCAGCCAGAATACCTTTAACGAACACAGCCCTGTGACCACATGGATGGCAAGGAAGGAAGGAAGGAAGGATGGAAGGAGTTACATAGGATGCCGGCCGGGGGCACTATCCTCAAAGATTGACACTGATGCCTCAGTGCTCCATCCAAGCCCAGGGAAGCAAGCAGTCACCTCAGAGCTTGGTTTTGATGTGGACTCTTGCACCAAATTTAAAAACAACCCTGAAGGGCTCAACTGTTTTCTTTGGAACTGGGAAGCAAAATCTGGTTCTTTGGAAATGAGGGCAGCTGGAAATGGTAACATTCCTTTTTATTTCACTTTCTTGACATTATTTAATTGTAAAGAACTAGAATCCCAACATAATGATTCCGTCTTGAGGCACGATACCTTAAAGTGTGGGATTTGCAGAAGAGGCCAGAGGAAGGAGGGGAGGAAGAAATGACAAATCTAGTCTCTTCCACATGCTGTTGCTGGTGGAGGCTCTTGTTTTTTAAATTATATATACAGAAATTTACAGGATAAATTAAAATCTACGGGAGTTTAAAGAGTTAAATACACATAATTAAAACACATTCATACTCGCACATAAATAAACCTACATGAGAACACAGTACTTTTTTTTTTTTTTTTTGCAATTCGCTTATGTGTGGAATGCGAAACGCCATGTATCTGGCCAGCAGGGGAGCCAATGAGAAGATCCCAGGAATCAGGCTGGGCAAAGCTCACCTTCCGTATCCGCCCAACAACCATGAGACACAACTGTGAGCTGAGCTGATGCTGCCCATGGAAGATACCAGCTCTTAGTGCTGCAGACCAAATGCTCTGGGTCAGCTCACAGTACAGACTGTGCAACTGGTGACTGATGGCTTGACCCACTCCAGGGCTCACAAAACTCCTTGGCCCAGACAGAGGCTGCCAGTGGTACCAATGATTACAATACGTTTTGAGACGTGGACACCGATAGAGCAGGAATTGGAATGAACCCTCTACTAAGTTCACTTAGGCCATCACAATAACTTTCAGATGGGAACGATGTTATCGCCTCCCACCTAGGTCACTTCAAGTTGAAAAGCTTTGTATTTTCAGTTAACTGACGTCTTCCCATAATCTTTCCCATTACATTTCAGACTGTAAGACAGGTAAGGCAAATGGTCAGTGATGGGTCTGGAGGTACAACTGAGTTTGGAAAAAAATCACATTTTAGCCAACCTTACCACGATGCACTTGGCATCCAAAACTAGCCCCCAGCCCCCAAGTTACATTGATTTTTAAGGCAGATTTATCCACCACAGGAGAAGAAAGAATTCCAAGCCCATATTCATGCCAAGGTTTCCTCTTGGCTAAACCTTTGCCATTTCATAAAATTATTAAAAGCAAAGTACTTACAGTCCTATGTATATATTTTACATTTTACATATATATATATATATGTGCATATATATAAAAATTTAAAACCTACACCCAGAGGCCAGTGAAGGGATCTGGAACAGTCACATACACACAAGCCAGCAACAGGACAGGATAAGGTTTCTGTCCCAAGAGT